AACAATTTTTTGTAAAGCTAGTTTAATGAACAGTCAGAGTAAACAATAACCAATATACAGCTCTTTCTTTAATTTTTTGAATTTTCAAGGTTTGTTTGATATGGTATCGTAGTAGCACTGGCACTGGTATTATTACTTGTGTGTTATGACCAGTTAAATGAGAAACTATAGCTTAACATACTTTACTTGTTGATTCAGAAACATAGTATCCCTATGCAGACCCTTCTAATATCCTATACCACAATGTTATTACTTGTATTATTCAGCATGTTTGCTCTGGACAAGAGCAGAATATAAAGCAACATCTCCACAGACTGTGCCCCAATGTAAGATTAAGAGCAAAGTCTATCAGCAAAAACAATAAAATCTGGATTTAAATATTGCTTTCATCCTGGACAAACATTTAATCATTATAGTAACCTCATAAATGAGACCAATTATATCTTTGGAAGCATGCTAATAAAAAAGGTTCTTGGACTCTTGACACATGATTTCCATCGTTTGCTTAACCTTTTCTTTTGATTTTTTCTTTTTTTGATCTATGGAATTAGAAGTAAAAAAAATCTAATCCCACATTTTCAGACATGTTTGTGTGGTTGGCAAACTGCAGACAGATTCTACCAGTTATTCATCATACCTAGGTAGTTTCCTGCTGAGGCTCTGGAGTCCACTGCAACGATGACTCCGTGCTTGAATTTGAAGGCCAGGGTGGTGGTACCGTGGTTCATTTCAATGCACACACCTCCGTCATGGTTGCAGGACTTCAGAAACCCTGAAGCCTGTAATGAAACCAAAAAGGGAACTCGTTGAGACGCTGATCGCTAATGGTTCTGAGTATGCCAAACAGAAAGTAAGAGAGTAAGAGATCATATCTGAAAAACGAAATTAAACAGATCGCAAGCCCAAACTTAAACCCTAGACCTTAAAATTTTGAAATTCTCTGCTTACAACACCAAAAGCGAAGAGACGCGTAAAGCTTTATAACACCGAGTCTGATGTTTGGATTGTGTAACTGATTAAAAAAGGGGAGAAATGTTGAATTATACTCACGTCCACACCCGGAGGGACAGCAAACTCCTGGGTTTTAGTGCCAAAGCTGTAGTGGTTGGTTCGGTCTACAAGATGCGTCAGTCCTGCTGGAAGAATCTGTTCACGGAGTTCACAATATTTTTTATAACCGCTCACTTCAAAAAGAGCCATTTTGAGTCCTATAGTTAAGACTAATTTAACTTTTGTAAGTATTTAGCACAACAGCCTTAACGTCAACCAAACGACGGCGAAGTCAAATGAGTTGCAGTACGAATAATTTCCTCGTAGCTTACGCGACAAAGAAATCGAAAGTGAAAGGTTTTTTTTAAACTCTTCATCGGTGCGGGCTTTTTCTTTTCTTTTTCTTTTTTCGCAATTTTCATATGAAATAAAAAATCTAGAAATAAGTAATGCTCTGATGTTTGCTCTCAAAGTCCCAATAATCTAACAGTTGAAAAATCTTAATATTCTACCGGAGTTTAATCATCTGTTTTAATATCAATATCCAATAGGAAGGCTTTATTCTTTTACATAATCAGTATCTAAGCGGAAATGTAGCCGCCAGGTTTTTGGGAAAACACCTGGCGCAGATCAGTGACATTAATGCATGTGACGACCTGTTATTGTGAGATCATGTCTGTTATTTGATGGATCAAATACCACAGTGTGCTAAAAATTAACTATAGAAAGAAACACCAGGAAGCATAATAGTATATCACTTATTTTATTTAAAGTTTTTATCAGCAGTCAAACCCATGAAACCAGTGTCAGTCACATGTTTGCCACATAGATCATTTATGTTCAAGTCGTGTGGTTCTGTGCTGAAATTCAGGCCGTCTCCATCTGCTGCACTGTTTCCTGCACAACCTCCAGCTTTAAGGGGACGACTTTCTCTGTCAGAATCGGTGTTGCTCCTGGTGGATATTTGTATTTTGTTTTCCTGGGAGAAAGAAGAAAGATAATCTTACATTTTAAGCCAAATTCACACTTTCCCTTTTATCCCTGCATAATAACAGTGGACACCAATGTGTTTTTATAATCACATATATTGGGAGCTTGGAAAAATAATTTTACAACAGTCAGCATGTATTGCATGTATGGCATAGACGAACAGACAGTCACGGTTACAGACTATAAGTCAAACTATAGTTTTGTTTTTTTAACTGATAAATTGTTCTTTTTTAAGTTTCTTCTCCTTTTAAGATGATGAATAAAGTCATACTGATACACACGTACCTCTTGTCTTTGAACTGGGACTCCCGGTACGGTCTGATGTAGTCCACTCCTTGCTTGGTGATGACACAGATGTCGATGTTGTTGCCTGAGCCGAGGTCGTTCATGATGCCTGCTTGAATAGCAGCTCGCACCAGCTCCTTCGCCGGCTCCAGCTGAGAGAGGACAGAAATTGCATGAAGAAAAAAGCAAACGGAACATAAAAGAGAAAAAGAGTCAACTGTGAGCTTTTAAATCCAGCTGCAACAACTTCCAGATGGCTGCATGCATTTTCTGATAGTTGTGAAAGACACAAAGGACAGGGATGAACTGTTTTATTATACAAGTACAGTATCCTGTCACACTGCAGTTAAAGATCCACAAAAATGAATTGAAATAATTCTTTGATCAAGTTTAAATGAGCAGCTGTCATTTCACAGTATTTATACCCCTATAAATCTCTGGTGTACCTCTAAGTTGGGTTTGAACCCATCCTCTAAAATCCCAAGAGCAGCCAGATCTCCAGATCCTGCATGAACACAAAGTAAAGTCAGCTAAACACAGACTGGATGTGGTCTGTGATTGAGTCAAATACTTGTATGATTTCATTTATATTAGTAACAACAACACATTGCTGCCATTTTTATTTTATATAAAGTAGCTCTTCTATACTGGAGTGAACAGAGAGTGACAAAAGCATTACAGAAACACTAACCAAGAATCCAATAAAAAGACTAATACTGTTACTTAATGCAGTTATATCACATACCCATTGAAAGGTAAGGCACCTTATTTACACTCCCATATGGCCCCACAGTGTACAGGTGGTTCCCAGTACAATCCACTCCCCCGAGGATAAGATTGGCCCCAATTTGACCGTGATACCTGACAACAAACATATATCATCAACACAAACTTCTATTACTACTAATTTAAAAATCTTCACTACTGGTAAACTCTCCTCCAAGTCCTAAAAACACACCTGAGTGTGTGCAACACTCACCTGTAAAGCATGTCCTGCAGTATGTTCACAGCCATGACAACGCGAGGGTTCCTCCCACTGTTCAGAGAGTAGATGGTGAGGTTGGATGAGAGGAGGTCTGTGGTCTTTTCTGTATCTGCTGCTGTACCTGCTCCACAACAACTACAGACACACAGAGACAGAGAACAGATGAGTAAACAGATGAAAAACAAAACATAAAAGATGAATTAGCAAGCCAGGTATACGTTAAGAGAAGTTAATGTGAGAAACGCAAAACAATGACTACAGTCAATGTTTCGCTTTACAGAAATAAAAATCATCATACAAACAATGGGAGGACTCTATTCTCCCCAAAGCACCCATGATATCACGGAATATCATCAGTAGCATGAAACTATTGTAAACTACTACAGCTGCTTCATTTGAATATTTTATATGAACAGAAGATGCTCATTCTTTTCTCTCCACATGTAGCAGTGTATTTAATCGCTTAAATATAAGTATAAGTGTGAGTTAATAGTAGAATGTGCTGTTCAAAGAATAAATGACAGCAGTTTACCTGAAACAACTGGATGAAAATAACTGTGAGAGAGTCAGGAGTTATTTCTCTGCTAATGAAACTTACTATATATTTGGAGAGATGTAATGGATTTTAGCGCACATTTTGTCGGCCACCACTTCACCAGATGTAGCTCTGGTATCTGCTCCCAGCACCACCCCATCCTGTAGAAACACAGGTAAATCTGGATGTTAGTAACTATCACTTGAATTATATTCATGTACCTCACAATCATTGTGTTAACAGCTCCATAAAGTAAATGTTCATAGGAATACTAGACCAGCATTCAAACAGCAATACACTATTTTAGGCAAAAACAGACTGAAATGCACATTTTTAAAGCAAGAAATGTCTACATCCAAGGTAAATATTTAGCAAATGCTGGAATATTGTTTGTCAGGTTTTTTTTTTTTACATCATTCATTACACGCTATTTGTGGGTTAGCAGGCTTTGAGTGTAATTCTTTGAAGAATCTCTGCTCACAGCACCATGTGAGAAAAGAGCCTTTGATTTAAGAAAAATAAAAGGATTTTATGTAGTTTTTAGTGTTTAAGTTTCTATAGTAGAATAAATACAATACAAAGGCTGTAATGGGAAAAAGTTAGTTTGTTATCCTTTTAAAAACAGTTTAAAAAAATCAGAGTTTTTTTTGTTTTAAACACACAAAGTTATTGTTTTTGTTTATTCGTCTCCCACAGTTATACTCACCTTGAACACCACTCCTGCGATGGTGGTGCCTGTTTTCAGGGGTTTGGGAGTCTGTCCTCCATCAAAGAGACCCTTTAATGCAGCGTTTCTATAAGGAGGAAGATGAAGACAAGAGAGAGAGGAGGGGTCAGGAGTGTTGAGTCTGTGGTGCGTGTGTTTGTGCTGGTGGTGGGGTAAAACAACTTTTCAATAGCAACATATTGTAAATATAGTTGTAATAAAGATTGTGAAAAATAAAGAAGTAAATAAAGATTATCTCTGCGATTAATCTGATATAAAATCAGGAAACGTTAGTTTCGTTTTTGATCTCGATGTAAGTTCAGTCTTACCGACGGTTTCATTTGATTTCTGTCCTCAGCGATTCAGTCTGCAGCTCTGAGAACATTAAAAGAATCTCTTACCTTCCCGCGTTGTCGAAGTTAAAGCCAGGTGCGGGAGTTTCGAAGACATTTGCTAGCGCCATTGTGGAGGTGAGTGCGGCTCCTCTGCGCGTCGCTCGGAGCGCCTGAGGTCGCTGTTCTGAGCGTCAGCTCTTCCTCTCTTTCGATTTTGGGGTTAAAATGGAGAAACACTGCACGGACTCACGAGTCAAAGGAGTCAGCACTGGGGTAAGTAAACCTGCACCAGGTAACGAGTGTTTTTATCTAAAGATGAAACACTGAAGTCATCGTGTGTAAAACAGGAGGTTTGAACTGTAGCCGATGTCGTGTTTGAACAGGTGATGCGTTTACCTGAACACGAAGCTAAAACTAACTGAAACCACATCAACTGGTTATCTAACTAATAATGTTATCAGTAAAGGTCAACTTCTAAACTATGAGCTCGTTTGCTTTTAGAGTTTTTATGCAGAAAACTGTCAGCTATACTTTCATTTTCACAGCCTCATCATTTTCTGAACTCCAAATCCCAGAATTCATAGCGTTGCTAAGTCTTCATGAATGAACAGGAAAAAAAATGTTGTTATGATGCGGTGTACCTCAATGATAATTTAGTCATATTTGTTTAAAAACTATTTTTCTCCTCTCCTCCCTCAGACCACCATCCTGGCGGCCGTTTTTGATGGCGGGGTTGTGATTGGTTCAGACTCCAGAGCTTCAGTGGGAGAGTAAGGGTTTTATTTATGCAGTTTAACTGTAAATTAAAATAGAATCACACTGCATTCACTCCCTGTTGTGGTAAATGTGGTAAAGAATAAAACTGTTTAACTGAAATTTAATCTGCACGAGTGGGCTGTGCTGATACAATTTAGTACTTTTGTTTTCATCTGTTTCATCACCACCGAAGCCAGTACCTTGTTTTCCAGTATAAACACATCTGCACCAAAATTTTATTTGTATAAAGTTTAATCAAACCTGGTTCTATAATTTTTGTAATTTTACTGACAAGTGAAAAAATAATCACATACACTGGGTCCCAGGCTTAGGCCACTTCATACTTTCCTGAGGGTCTGTTTCGGTGCTTTTTGATGTAGATTTTGTCATCAAAGGGATGGACAGCTGTGGATACCAAGGACAAGTAGTTATTGTTATTTTTATTGTTATTTTTGAGGCCACATGCTTGCTTACAGTAGGCAGGCAGAGTTTGTATGTGTGGAAAAGTCTGGAGGTCACAATAAAGCGTGGAGCGTTGTGCTCCACCTTTAAAGACAGAATATACGTGTCTTGGTCTAGATGGATGTGAAACAGGTGCAGGGCAGGGGTATGTCTAAGGTAGTCATGACACGGCACCAGCACCCCCTGAAATGGGTTGACCCCCTGTCACTGCCAATGGACTGTTAAACTTACAGTGCCAAACTCACTGGATGAGAGCATGCATAGGATTAGTATAAATGTAAGCAAGTATTTTTACTCAATTACTTTACTGAACTACAGGTTTAATATGTTTTTACTCAAAGTGTTTCTTATAAACCCAAGTAGTACAATATAAAAAATGCTGGCAGCAGTGCCCCTCAGCACTGGAATAGGTGCACCTGTGATATAAATGTGAAAATCCTACATCACCTCGTTGTTGAGTTCTCACATTCACATACTTTGATGTCCACACCATCTGCTACAGCCACAGATTACACATCTCCATGCTGCAGCTATGTGTGTCGTGTCTATGTCAAACACTCAACCACTGTTCATTCCAACTTTCTCCTCAGGGAGTATGTATCGTCTAAGACCATCAACAAGGTGATTCAGGTTCACGACCGGATCTTCTGCTGCATAGCTGGTTCACTTGCAGATGCTCAGGCCATCACCAAGGCTGCAAAGTTCCACCTGTCCTTCCACAGGTATGCGCACAGCACAGGTTTAAATTACTTTGCTCAACAGTTCAAGTTCCATGAGGTTTGTGAGATCACAATAATAAGATAATGAATCCACCTTGCAAAACTTCAGACTTGTAGGTTGTATCTAAAACACAAATGTTTGTACCAGTCAGCCTCTACGGGCATGACCAAAGTTGTTCTTGTCCCCAGTTGGTCCAGAGTTGTTCGTGTAAGCACTGCAGTGGCTTCAGTTAGACCTGAATTGGAAAGTATTTCTTTATTTGAAGAAGAGAAAAAAACTACAATAATGGATTTCCTCAGTGTAATAGACGCTGTTTTTAGGCTCATTTCCCAGCATGCTTTGGCAACAGTTTAATTTATCAGAGGGCTCCGTTGAGCTAACTATACCTGGTGATTGATATTGAGCCCACATTTCTTTATATTTTGCTGGAAAATGTTCTTGAATTATTCAAACATTTTTCTGAACATCACATTATTGTAAATACTACATTCAATCATATTGAAATAACATTTGGCTGTGTCTGCTTGTTCTCACTCTTCTGCAGTGTCCAGATGGAGAGCCCTCCACGGGTGATGGCAGCAGCATCTGTGTTGAAGGATTTGTGCTACAAAAACAGGGAGGAGCTGCAGGCCGGCTTCATGACAGCAGGCTGGGACAAGAAGAACGGACCACAGGTAGCAGATCTCTGTGAAAACTGTCAGACATCTCAGAAGAGCTAATGATGACTGTAAACTGAGCGAGCTGCTGCACTACGATCTTCTCCATCTCTTTCCAGGTGTACGTTGTGGCTCTTGGCGGGATGTTGATTAACCAGCTTGTTACCATCGCCGGCTCAGGCAGCACTTATATCTATGGCTACATTGACGCTAAATACAAACCCAACATGACGAAAGAGGAATGCCTGCAGTTTGCCACTAACGGTACCGTTTTTTCACCATGTTCACATCAAGATGTTAAAATGTTTTGCAGGGAAATTGTTGATTGCATGAAGAGGAAATATATGAATCACAGTACAGGAGAAAATAAGGATTGTGCTCAGAAAATGGTTGGTGGGATTGTGATGACTTTAACATAACTGAAAAATATTTTAGAGCTTTGAACCGCATCTTACACTCTTAAGCAAGAGATTTAGCTTAAAGAAATGATCCTAAATGATAAATAAACTGGTACTCATGTGCAGTGTTTTTCTGGACTTTTACTACATGCCACACACATTGGACTGAATCATAAGCTTTGTGTCAAAATGCAGTTGCAAAGGAGACTTTACATATAACTTTATATATCATGTGTAGTCTTTATATTTTATGCAAAAACTACTTTTTCAAGGTTTCTTTATTGAATTACGGGGAAACAGATCAAACATCCAGAGTATCAGTACTTCTTTCTGTTACTCTTTATCACAGGTATTAAATTGGCATTAAAGTTTTTCTATGTAAACTGTGATATATAACATGAGACTGAAATTCAAATTTGGGTGTAAAATTGATTTGGTTGCTGCTGTAGTTATCAAATAGTTTTTTAAAAAGGCACAAAAATTCAACCCACTCCTGTGAAGTTGGAGGGT